TTTTGCTTAACGTGGAATTGCACAAACTGCAGTAGCGACACCTATGTCCTTATATGGTCTCTCTGCACCTATATGGAATATGATATCTCCTTATATGGCACGTCATTCATTACTTTTCATTCATATGCAAATTTATAGGCAGCTTGTCTGATAACATTCCTTCATATAGACAGAGAAAGCATTCACTTTGATATTTTCTTAACCAGTCAGATGTATGCGAAACATACAATAATGCATGTATTGTGTATGTATAAAATTGATAAGAAATATTTTGATTAATTTTCTAACAAAGCTCTGCTTGCTGAAAGAGTGCTTCCCGCACTCTTCCCTAAAGTGAATGGTTTCCTCTGACCTACCAACTGTAGTCCTCTAACCAGTACACAGTTTCTGTCACACTGTTTGGGCCACTAACGTTTTGCTTTATATAACAACATCCCCACTGCAAATAAGCCTGAAATTTTACTTCTGACCACATGAATATGAATATTCTTTCCGTCAAAATTAAAACAAGACATTCTATCCATTTCAGTAGAGTCTATTTTAAGCACAGAATAAATCGACAAGACCTATACATTATCACAAGAAAAAAAATGTAAAGCGAACCATGCTTTGATAACTTTAGCAACCCGTCAAACAGCAGGCAGTCGAGCTGGCTGGATGAGGCCAAAGGTCACCGTGGCCCGCGGTATACCTGTATTTCTGCAAAACATTATATCCCTTAATAGGACATTGGTCTAACCTGATCAGCCGGACTTAAGTCGGTATATTTGAAGAGTTGAACCATATTTGTGAGTTATCACAAAGCCTCCTCGCCCTCAGATGTAATATTAGATTAACCTCAGTCAGATTTGGATGATTCTGTGCCTCTTGTGTAACACGTGTCAAGATTACACTTTTAGCTTAACGGACATCTGGTTTCCACCGTTATTGGAGAATATAAATTATGACCGGCAAAAGAAGTAGTGCGATGTTTAATCTATGATAAAACATGTACATCACAATATATTTATAGATTATCACACCGTATTTCTCCATTAAAAAATACTCAACTAAACACAATGTTTTCCAAATGACTTCTAAGCTCAATGGTCAACGATTTTTTGGGCTATATCAATCAGTGTAAATTAACGTTGGTTGAGAACGTACATAAAGGATCGTATAGAATAATAAGTAGTCATACCATTAAAAAGGAGACTGAGCCGGAGGTATTAGCGTCTTTGGTAAACGATGTCGGAGTATCGAAAGCTAGTTTGGCAGACTTAGGTTGTGTTAGTATTTCTTAGATATAGAGCGATGTATACAGCAATATAAAGAGGTCCGATATAGATTGGTGTGATACATATATGAGGATTCGCGTTCGAGAGAGAAAGACGGATTTGTATAGGGAAGGAGCGGATGTCATAATCGCAAAAACGAACAAATCTTCTTTTCCAGTGTGTATCTTGAAGATATATTTTGCAAAAGCAGGCATTTTCGATAATTCTGAGATTATATATTTCCTGACACTTTGTAAATCATTCATACTTAGAGGTAGTACTACCTTTTCGTACACAAGGGTCCGTGAAGTAGTGCTATAAATGCATGGGAAACTAGGCCTGGAAACTAAAAAATACGGATTACATAGTCTCCGGGCAGGAGGAGCGACGGCGGCAGCGAATGCCGGAGTGCCGGACCGACTTCAAAAAACACGGACGCTGGTGGACGGACAAGGCAAAGGATGGGCTCCTTTGTAATCTTCAAAGGACAAGTATCAGACTAGTGTTGGTCAGGTTTTGTTTCCCTGACACCAATCAAATAGCTAGCCGGGGGGCTTTATTTATGCTATGACATATTCCAGGGGTGTAGAGAGCGAAAGTGAGCTTAACCCATAGATATCGAGGATGGACATCGGGCGGTGTACAGGACACCTGGTTGCATGTAAAATTGTACAAAATCCCAAGATGTCCGTACGACAAACTATTGTCTACCGTATTGATCTATCTACAACAATCTCATGAAAGGTGGAACACTTATTTGGATATTTCTCTCAACCGAGATGACTGGGAAAACATTCATGCTCTTCCATTTTATGAGACAAACGACTCAAAAATTAGAAAATCAGGAATGTAGCTTTTATATTGGGGCACCAGAAACAATATATCACCATTTTTTGGAATTGTACACGAAGTCAATCACTCTGGACATGTTTTATAAATTCAGTTTGTCTCAAATATAATGCTGTTTTAGAAAGAAAAAAACTGCTACTTTCAATAAAATTCCTAATTTTTAAATCTTTATCTATAGTCGACCTATATTTTGACCCAAAAGGCAGGGAACAAGATCCGACAAAAATTGGAAAATATCAAACTTATTTTAGAATGAACTTTGTATCTGATATTTTGTGTATAGTATATGTTTTCATTAAGAACCTTTGTCTCACTTGTACATTAATTATGTGATTGACGCAATAAAAAGTATTGAAAAAAAGATGACCGTACGATGCCGCCGGGAGCCGTAAGATGAACTTACGAAATCCTTGCGGGACACTTACAGGAGACTACCAAGTAGGTTCCGATGAGTTTGGGTCAGATAAAATCGGGCAGACACCGGCAACTTTTATCTGCGAGCTAAAAGCTCGGCGTCTAAAAATCGGCCGATAGTGGCCAATACTCTCGCGGCGTCCTTACTGTTCCCCGGCCGGTTTTGGCCAAACATCTCATCGCTCGGAAATCGGCGCTAATGTGACTGAGGTTTAAGGTCACTATTATCTCACTATGACCTATGCTTTTACCTTATTTCTAGAAAAGTTTGTCAAGGGCATATCTTCGATACTATTTTACCTGGAGTTACCAGATGTGGTGTACAATGTCATCTTAGGATGGCGGAGTGCAGAGGCAAGAATAAGATCATTGTGACCTATGACTTGACCTTTGAACTTCACTTTTGAAAACGTTTGTTCATGTATGCTTTTTCACCTAGAGTAATCAGTTTTGGTGTACAAGGACATTTTGTGATGATAGAGTGCAAAGTATAAGAATAAGGTCACTATTACCTCACTGTGACCTATGCTTTCTGACATAAGTGTACTGTTTGTTAAATATAGAAATCATTACCGGTGGGGGACTATGGAATGCCTTGCAATACTTTGCCATGTATCTGAAATTAAGGATCCTGGTAAGGCTGACTGTATATTCCAATCAGTGAAATTAACATGTATCCTGTCGAACTTTGTCTCATCAGAGCATTGGTTGAATCTGTGCACCGCTTGGGGAATACAGTAATTACACTATAGCTAATAGTAGTACAAATGATTAGACTTTGTATTCTTCTTTGTTTGTTATGGGGAATTCCTTTAAGATTCATTCTGTTACCATTAACATAATCATATGAAGAAGTATATACTGACATATGACATGGCAAAATCCTAGTTGACCTAAAGACATGTGTGACTGCTGCTGGTCTATATATAGGAAATATACGTTTCACCCTATACCAATAGGCACTAAGGAGATATTGCAACAGTCATTATGTATTCGGAAGTCTATTCTTTATTTATGGCAAATGCAGAGCCAAAAACTCTTGCAGCAGTACTTGTGGATGGTCCTTGGAAGGAAAAAATATTTCAGACTATTGCCAAGAATAAGAATAAATATCACATCAGTTAAAACATAAACGGTGTTTAACCTGCATCACAAGTAATTGTAATGTGTTCCGTTTTCCTAAGATGTTATATAACTATGGAAATATTGCAACATCAAGAAAGCATGTGTCTGGAGTACTTTCAGTACTTTGATTTTACTCAGGATGTAAGGTTTTCACTGTCACAATAGTACTCCCTTTGAGGCCTTGTGAGCAGGGGTATTTTCTCGCAACAATCGCTGCTTCACAATGACCTCATCTCGTGTTGCAGATGCGACTGTGTACATATTAGTATTCGCGGCATACTTGCCATTTATATCAGTTAAAGTCCTCTAGCCTACACTGACGTTGTGCTTACTTGCAGATCTAGACCTGCACCCACTTTATACAAATATTTTATGAAAATAGATCCATGGCTATAAATAGCACAGAGAACTATCAATCAGCTTACGTTACTCTATTAGACATATATGTTTATTAGATATAAACACGGAATAAACCTTTATTTGTTTCCTGGCTGGCACAAAAAGGGCATGCCCCTTAAAAAAAACCTGAAATTGATAAGTGTTGGGTTTTCTGGTAATAAATCACTAACAATTTTTCGACGGGACCGCTGTTTCATAACACGAACACATCGGCCAATTTTGTTGCAACGCGGCATACAATGTAGTTAGACTAAAACTACAAAAGTAATCTACAAAGTCAGTGACGTAACGATTCAGTGTTCCCATGATTAGATATGTAATCAAAGTAGCTAAAACATTGGTCCAGTATTTATTGGAAGTGTTTGAAACCAATCACCAATTAGAAAACGAGGTAAATTAACCACTCATTCACTTGCGTTTCATTTTGTCAGTTATGTAATGTAAACTTGGAGTAACTAAAATGTGACACGTGGTAAGATGCTTTTCGGTAAGGCTGCCTTCAAACAAGCTCATTGTGTAGAACATATATGTCTGTAATACCTTAAACGTTAAGTGTCTTAGAGTTATGTTCTTGAGATTAGATATTACGCTGTGGTCTAATAAATAATAATAATCCGAAGGGTTTAAATTTACGAGTAGACATATCGATGACATGTAAAGCTATCATCCAATCAGAACACGGCTGTGAAACAATCTACAAGATGTGTACAGCATATGTCCGTTTTCTAAAAATGTCTTCTTAAAAGTTGTATCGACAAACGCACAATGTTTTACATCAGTACGTTTAATCTTCAGTAAACATTATCAGGAAAATCTTAATTTATAATGCTGTACGACATTTTTATTTCCGCATCTGTTACACCGACCGAATTATGTTGATGTTAATCTTCAACTTCACTACAAGATAATTGAGTTGGCGGCCTGGGGGATCATTGTTGATAATACTTTTGGAGGCCTGGGGGATCATTGTTGATAATACTATTGGCATGTTCGCACAGAAACACGCGTAAACTGAAAGGTATGTACAGTTTAACTTTGTCATAATTTTGAACCAATTTTACTGAAAACAACAGTGTGTTGTCATTTTTCTGTACATATATTACCATTGTATAACAGTCAGTGTGGGGTCCGTTTTCTATACGATGCCAATATATTACCATTGTATAACAGTCAGCGTGGGGTCTGTTTTCTGTACATATATTGGCATCGTATAACTGTCAGTGTGGGGTCCGTTTTCTGTCCATATATTACCATTGTATAACAGTCAGCGTGGGGTCTGTTTTCTGTACATATATTGGCATTGTATAACAGTCAGTGTGGGGTCCGTTTTCTAGTTTAACTTTGTCATAATTTTGAACCAATTTTACTGAAAACAACAGTGTGTTGTCATTTTTCTGTACATCTATTACCATTGTATAACAGTCAGTGGGGGGTCCGTTTTCTGTACATATATTGGCATTGTATAACAGTCAGTGTGGGGTCCGTTTTCTATACGATGCCAATATATTACCATTGTATAACAGTCAGTGTGGGCTCCGTTTTCTGTACATATATTACCATTGTATAACAGTCAGTGTGGGGTCTGTTTTCTGTACATATATTGGCATCGTATAACTGTCAATGTGGGGTCCGTTTCCTCTACATATATTGGCATTGTATAAATGTCAGTGTGGAGTCCGTTTTCTGTACATATATATCCATTGTATAACAGTCAGTGTGGGGTCCGTTTTCTGTACATATATTACCATTGTATAACAGTCAGTGTGGGGTCCGTTTTCTGTACATATATTACCATTGTATAACAGTCAGTGTGGGGTCCGTTTTCTGTACATATATTACCATTGTATAACAGTCAGTGTGGGGTCCGTTTTCTGTACATATATTACCATTGTATAACAGTCAGTGTGGGGTCCGTTTTCTGTACATATATTACCATTGTATAACAGTCAGTGTGGGGTCCGTTTTCTGTACATATATTACCATTGTATAACAGTCAGTGTGGGGTCCGTTTTCTGTACATATATTACCATTGTATAACAGTCAGTGTGGGGTCCGTTTTCTGTACATATATTACCATTGTATAACAGTCAGTGTGGGGTCCGTTTTCTGTACATATATTACCATTGTATAACAGTCAGTGTGGGGTCCGTTTTCTGTACATATATTACCATTGTATAACAGTCAGTGTGGGGTCCGTTTTCTGTACATATATTACCATTGTATAACAGTCAGTGTGGGGTCCGTTTTCTGTACATATATTACCATTGTATAACAGTCAGTGTGGGGTCCGTTTTCTGTACATATATTACCATTGTATAACAGTCAGTGTGGGGTCCGTTTTCTGTACATATATTACCATTGTATAACAGTCAGTGTGGGGTCCGTTTTCTGTACATATATTACCATTGTATAACAGTCAGTGTGGGGTCCGTTTTCTGTACATATATTACCATTGTATAACAGTCAGTGTGGGGTCCGTTTTCTGTACATATATTACCATTGTATAACAGTCAGTGTGGGGTCCGTTTTCTGTACATATATTACCATTGTATAACAGTCAGTGTGGGGTCCGTTTTCTGTACATATATTACCATTGTATAACAGTCAGTGTGGGGTCCGTTTTCTGTACATATATTACCATTGTATAACAGTCAGTGTGGTGTCCGTTTTCTGTACATATATTACCATTGTATAACAGTCAGTGGGGGGTCCGTTTTCTGTACAAATATTACCATTGTATAACAGTCAGTGTGGGGTTCGTTTTCTTTACATATTACCATTGCATAACTGTCAGTATGGGGTCCGTTTTCTGTACATATATTAAAATTGTATAATTGTCAGTGTGGGGTCCGTTCTCTGTACATATATTACCATTGTATAACAGTCAGTGTGGGGTCCCTTTTCTGTACATATATTTCCCTTGTATAACCGTCAGGGTGGGGTCCGTTTTCTGTATATATATTGGCATTGTATAACCGTCAGTGTGGGGTCCGTTTCCTGTACATATATTATAATTGTATAATTGTCAGTGTGGGGTTCGTTCTCTGTACATATATTTCCATTGGATAACAGTCAGTGTGGGGTTCGTTTTCTTTACATATTACCATTGCATAACTGTCAGTATGGGGTCCGTTTTCTGTGCATATATTAAAATTGTATAATTGTCAGTGTGGGGTTCGTTCTCTGTACATATATTACCATTATATAACAGTCAGTGTGGGGTTCGTTTTCTTTACATATTAACATTGCATAACTGTCAGTATGGGGTCCGTGTTCTGTACATATATTAAAATTGTCTAATTGTCAGTGTGGGGTCCGTTCTCTGTACATATATTTCCATTGTATAACAGTCAGTTTGGAGTCCGTTTTCTGTACACATATGGGCATTCTATAACAGTCAGTGTGGGGTTCGTTTTCTTTACATATTCCCATTGCATAACTGTCAGTATGGGGTCCATTTTCTGTACATATATTACCATTGCATAACAGTCAGTGTGGGGTTCGTTTTCTTTACATATTACCATTGCATAACTGTCAGAATGGGGTCCGTTTTCTGTACGTATATTGGCATTGTATAACTGTCAATGTGGGGTCTTTCTCCCCTAATACCCATACTACCGATACACTGTACACACTTCACGAGTTCCACTGCCTTCACGTCCAGTGGTTATTTGATACTTAGATTTATTTATGATATACTCAAGCTATTTCCATAATATGCAATGTATTTTGTTTCAAATTGCGTTTAGCTTGATAGATATTACCAAGTTAAGTAATTCATGTATGTTTTAAAAACTTTGTACTTAACTGTCAAATAAGTGTAGTATTCGTTTTAAACAGTTTAGTTTTAATTGTTCATATATTACCATTGTATAACTGTCAGTGGGGGGACTGTTTTCTGTACATATATTGGTATTGTATAACTGTCAGTGTGGGGTCTGTTGTCTGTACATATATTACCATAGTAAAACAGTCAGTGTGGGGTCCCTTTTCTGTACATATATTTCCATTGGATAACAGTCAGTGTGGGGTTCGTTTTCTGTATATATATTGGCATTGTATAACTGTCAATGTGGGGTCCGTTTTCTGTTTATATATTTCCATTGTATAACAGTCAGTTTTGTTTCAGTTTTCTGTACATATATTGGTATTGTATAACTGTCAGTGTGGGGTCTGTTGTCTGTACATATATTACCATTGGATAACAGTCAGTGTGGGGTTCGTTTTCTTTACATATTCCCATTGCATAACTGTCAGTATGGGGTCCGTGTTCTGTACATATATTAAAATTGTATAATTGTCAGTGTGGGGTTCGTTCTCTGTACATATATTTCCATTGGATAACAGTCAGTGTGGGGTTCGTTTTCTTTACATATTAACATTGCATAACTGTCAGTATGGGGTCCATTTTCTGTACATATATTAAAATTGTATAATTGTCAGTGTGGGGTTCGTTCTCTGTACATATATTTCCATTGGATAACAGTCAGTGTGGGGTACGTTTTCAATACATATATTACCATTGTATAACAGTCAGTGTGGGGTACGTTTTCAGTACATATATTACCATTGTATAACTGTCAGTGGGGGGTCTGTTTTCTGTACATATATTGGCATTGTATAACTGTCAATGTGGGGTCTTTCTCCCCTAATACCCATACTACCGATACACTGTACACACTTCACGAGTTCCACTGCCTTCACGTCCAGTGGTTATTTGATACTTAGATTTATTTATGATATACTCAAGCTATTTCCATAATATGCAATGTATTTTGTTTCAAATTGCGTTTAGCTTGATAGATATTACCAAGTTAAGTAATTCATGTATGTTTTAAAAACTTTGTACTTAACTGTCAAATAAGTGTAGTATTCGTTTTAAACAGTTTAGTTTTAATACTGTTTCAAACCCAAGCGGGTACTATTGATTTCGGTTTCAGCCGAATATGAATCAGGCTCAATTGAGGTTCCCGAAGGGGTAGACTGTTATATTATATATTGCTATTGATTGATTTAGATATTTTTTGTCTGACCAACGACTTTATTGGTAAAATTTATTTATTACCAGTTGTAATAAGGATACACCCTGTACTAGTTATAATAAGGATACATCCCGTACCAGTTATAATAAGGATACACCCCGTACCAGTTAAAATAAGGATACACCCCGTACCAGTTATAATAAGGATACACCCTGTATCAGTTATAATAAGGATACACCTTGTACCAGTTATAATAATGATACACCCCGTACCAGTTATAATACGGATACACCCTGTACCAGTTATAATAAGGATACACCCTGTATCCTTATTATAACTGATACAGGGTGTATCCTTATTATAATAAGGATACACCCTGTATCAGTTATAATAAGGATACACCTTGTACCAGTTATGATAATGATACACCCCGTACCAGTTATAATAAGAATACACCCTGTACCAGTTATAATAAGGATACACCCCGTACCAGTTTAAAATGTTTTAGATTCACAATTATTTACAGTGACTGCTTACTACCCTGATATATTTTATCTTTTCATTCAAGAAAATTGATAGAATTCCGAAACAAACGATACCTTATCATCGATTGTTGACAACTTAAGCAACAACATATATAGGTTTGTTGTGTAACGAGAAAGAAAACATAATGTATGTGAACATCACCTTTGAATACTCTTGAATTATAGATGTTATTTCTCTTTTAGATAATACGGAATTTTGTCATATAATATACGCATATGATGGAGCTGTTCTATGCCGCAGTAGTACTGCTGGTTTACCAAACTGTCTTCACTGTAAGGGCGGGTAAGTTAATTTGTAATAACAACTGACAAAGTCTGCAGTCTGTTCCTTTTATCCCCAGTTTACATATTGTAATAGTCCTTTATCAAATAAAAAATTGCTTTGCTCTAATTTCTTGCAAATTTTCACAACTAATAAGCTTGATGGTTATTTTTGAAATATGAATTTATAAATAATGAAAACTACTGGTGAAACAAATTGTGAAAGATAATTGTAAGGATAATAAACAACCAAACTAATTTTTGGCCTATGATAAGTAGCAGCCTGAGGGATAATAGTAAGCTAAACAACTGTCTGGTGCCACCATACTGTTAAGATTATTTTGATTAACTAAAATGTAACCAAGGGTTACGCACAAGTATTAGATTCACCTGTCAATTTAAATAAAAAAAACTTCAATTTGAAAAAGGGCTGTGCTATACCTTGGCACGAACGATATTGTATTTGTAAGCTTAAGGTAAGTCAGGATAGGATATTACACAGTATGAAAGTGGTAAGTCAGGATAGGATATTACACAGTATGAAAGAGGTAAGTCAGGATAGGATATTACACAGTATGAAAGAGGTAAGTCAGGATAGGATATTACACAGTATGAAAGAGGTAAGTCAGGATAGGATATTACACAGTATCAAAGAGGTAAGTCAGGATAGGATATTACACAGTATCAAAGAGGTAAGTCAGGATAGGATATTACACAGTATCAAAGATTCATTTATTATACAGTTCGTGTGTTATTTAGCAATTGTTTATGTATAAACAAACGAGAACTTACATTTAAACAAATAATGCCATTTAAGATAACTATACTTTGTAAAAAAAAAAAAGATAAGAAAATACCCAACTTTTAACAAAACCATAATTCGACCACAAAATGGCTAAAACTGGGGCAAATAAGAACAAAGGAAAACTTTTTGTTTTTGGGTGGGGGGATGATTATCAATGTTTTAATAAAGATAATGCAAAATTCGAGGTTCTTGATATACCGCTTTATCACAAACTAGTTCGTAGGTCGTCTCAAAGCGGTTCACAAATTATTATCCGTGGTTATAGGGCCCATGCAACCAGCCAAAATCTTTCTCAACTCCCTGGGGAGCATACAGCCGGTGCTGCCATTTCGGCGCTCACAGCTAGCATTCAACAATTCTAGCACTGCCCAACCACGTACTCATTTACAGCTGAGTAGACTGGAACAAGCGGAGCGAAGTATCTTGCTCAAAGATACAACACAGTGCCGTGCCGTGACTCGAACCCGCAACCCTTCGGTCACGAGCCCGGCGTCCTACCGCTAGACTACCGTACCAACTAAGAGATTCGAACAACGTTTTGTGGATCTGTTAGATATAGAGAAAAAATGTTATTTACTTAAATTTTGACAAAAGTTTTGACCTTTTCCTGGTTAGCGTTTGAAGACACATTGGGTCCTTGTTGAAATTCAGTAAAATGATAGATACTTCTTTTTTTCAGACTTGTGCACTTCTGACCGTGAGTATGATAGTTCCAATATAAATTCAATACGAATTTGCTTCGCAGTTAAATTAATGTTTTCATGTATTTTTCATTGTCATGTTTAGCTGTTTTAGGAAACTGAAAAATAACTGCTATGCATTTAATAACATCATTACTAATCATTGCGAGTGTAGGGCTTTTAATTGTTTTTAAAATATACTAATAATAATTTATTGCATTCAAATTATCCAAAATGTACGGTACCACTTTGTGTACTTACATTTTTAAAAATGAGTGACGTGTGTTGTTGATCCTATTAGAATGCAGCATGAATGGCCAATGCTATGATGTGGGGAAAAGATGGAAGTATACGTGCATCAAGTACAAATGTGTCAACATTGAGGGAAAGCCAGTAGCTCAGGAAAAGAATATACGTAAGATGAATGTTTATCATAGTCAAATTAAATAGCTCTGATGATTTATAATTCATTACTAATTGACATTTTTCATGTTGTTTTGTTTTGTTCCATGTACCTGGCTAATATTGATTTGTTCCATGTACCTGGCTAATATTTATTTGTTCCATGTACCTGGCTAATTTTATTTTGTTCTTTATACTTGGCTTATTTTGTTTGTTCTCTATACTTGGCTTATTTTGTTTTGTTCTCTGTACTAGGCTTATTTTGTTTTCTTTACTAGGCTTCTTTTGTTTGTTCTGTGTACTTGGCTTATATTGTTTTGTTCTCTGTACTAGGCTTATATTGTTTTGTTCTCTTTACTAGGCTTATTTTATTTTGTTCTTTATGCTTGGCTTAATTCATTTTGTTTTTTATACTTAACTTATTTTGTTTTGTTCTCTGTACTTGGCTTATTTTGTTTTGTTCTCTGTACTAGGCTTATTTTGTTTTCTTTACTAGGCTTATTTTGTTTGTTCTCTGTACTAGGCTTATATTGTTTTGTTCTCTGTAATAGGCTTATATTGTTTTGTTCTCTGTACTTGGCTTATTTTGTTTTGTTTTCTGTACTAGGCTTATTTTGTTTAGTTCTCTGTTCTTGGCTTATTTTGTTTTCTTTGCTAGGCTTATATTTTTTTGTTCTGTGTACTTGGATTATATTGTTTTGTTCTCTTTACTAGGCTTATTTTATTTTGTTCTTTATGCTTGGTTTAATTCATTTTGTTTTTTTATACTTAACTTATTTTGTTTTGTTCTCTGTACTTGGCTTATATTGTTTTGTTCTCTGTACCATGCTTATTTTGTTTTGTTCTCTGTACTAGGCTTATATTGTTTTGTTCTCTGTACTAGGCTAATATTGTTTGTTCACTGTAATAGACTTATTTTGTTTTGTTTTCTGTACCATGCTTATTTTGTTTTGTTCTCTGTACTAGGCTTATTTTGTTTTGTTCTCTTTACTAGCGTTATTTTGGGGTTTTTCTCTGTACCAGGCTTATTTGGTTTTGTTCTCTGTACTAGGCTTATATTGTTTTATTCTCTTTACTAGGCTTATTTTATTTTGTTCTTTATGCTTGGCTTAATTCACTTTGTTTTTTATACTGAACCTTTTTTGTTTTGTTCTCTGTACTTGGCTTATTTTGTTTTGTTCTCTGTACTTGGCTTATATTGTTTTGTTCCCTGTACTTGGCTTATTTTGTTTAGTTCCTTATACTTCACTTGTTTTATTTTGTTCTCTTTACTAGGCTTATTTTAGTTTGTTCTTTATGCTTGGCTTAATTCATTTTGTTTTTTATACTTAACTTATTTTCTTTTGTTCTCTGTACTAGGCTTATTTTGTTTTCTTTGCTACGCTTATATTGTTTTGTTCTCTGTACTAAGCTTATATTGTTTTGTTCTCGGTACTAGGCTTGTATTGTTTTGTTCTCTGTGCTTGGCTTATTTTGTTTTGTTCTCTATACTAGGTTTGGTTTATTTTGTTCTTTATACTTGGCTTATTTTGTGTACTAGACTTTTTGTTTTTGTTTTTTATGCTTGGATTATTTTGTTCTTTATGCTTAACTTATTTTGTTTTGTTCTCTGTACTAGGCTTATTTTGTTTTGTTCTCTTTACTAGCGTTATTTTGGGGTTTTTCTCTGTACCAGGCTTATTTGGTTTTGTTCCCTGTACTAGGCTTATATTGTTTTGTTCTCTTTACTAGGCTTATTTTTTATGTTCTTTATGCTTGGCTTAACTCACTTTGTTCTTTATACTGAACCTTTTTTGTTTTGTTCTCTGTACTTGGCTTATTTTATTTTGTTCTTTATACCTAACTTATTTTGTTTTGTTCTCTCTACTAGGCTTATTTTGTTTTGTTCTCTCTACTAGGCTTATTTTGTTTTGTTTTTTATACTTGGATATTTTGTTTTGTTCTCTGTACCATGCTTATTTTGTTTTATTCTTTATGCTTGGATTATTTTGATTTATTCTCTGTACCATGCTTATTTTGTTTTGTTCTTTATGCTTGGATTATTTTGATTTATTCTCTGTACCATGCTTATTTTGTTTTGTTCTTTATACTTGGAAATTTTGTTTTGTTCTCTGTACTAGGCTTATTTTATTTTGTTCTTTATGCCTGGATTATTTTGATTTGTTCTCTGTTCCATGCTTATTTTGTTTTGATCGCTATACTAGTTTTTTTTGTTTTGTTCTCTGTGCTTGGCTTATTTTGTTTTGTTCTCTATACTAGGTTTGGTTTGTTTTGTTCTTTATACTTGGCTTATTTTGTGTACTAAACTTTTCGTTTTTGTTTTTTATGCTTGGATTATTTTGTTCTTTATGCTTAACTTATTTTGTTTTGTTCTCTGTACCATGCTTTTTTTGTTTTTATCGCTGTACTAGGCTTATTTTGTTTTGTTCTTTATGCCTGGATTATTTTGATTTGTTCTCTGTTCCATGCTTATTTTGTTTTGATCGCTATACTAGTTTTTTTTGTTTTGTTCTCTGTGCTTGGCTTATTTTGTTTTGTTCTCTATACTAGGTTTGGTTTATTTTGTTCTTTATACTTGGCTTATTTTGTGTACTAGACTTTTTGTTTTTGTTTTTTATGCTTGGATTATTTTGTTCTTTATGCTTAACTTATTTTGTTTTGTTCTCTGTTCCATGCTTTTTTTGTTTTTATCGCTGTACTAGGCTTATTTTGTTTTGCTCGCTGTATTGAATTTATTGAGTTTTGTCTCTGTACTATGCTTATTTTGTTTTGTTCTTTATACTTAACTTACTTATTTTGTTCTTTATACTTGGCTTATTTTGTTTACTAGACTAATTCATTTTGTTCTTTATGCTCGGATAAATATGTGTTGTTCTCTGTACCATGCTTATTTTGTGTTTTATTCTCTGTTGAGGGCTGAATTTGTTTTGTTCCCTGTACTTGGCTTATTTTGGTTAGTTCCTTATACTTCACTTGTTTTATTTTGTTCCCTGTACTAGGCGTATTTTGTTTTGACTGTGTACTAGGCTTTTCTATTTTGTTCTTTTTACTTGGCTTATTTTGTTTTGTTCTCTGTACCATGCTTATTTTGTTTTGCTCGCTGTACTAGACTTATTTCGTTTTGCTTGCTGTGTTGGATTTATTTTGTTTTGTCTCTGTACTAGGCTCATTTTGTTTTATTCTTTATACTTAACTTATTTTATTTTGTTCTTTATACTTGGCTTATTTTGTTTTGTTCTCTATACTAGGCTTATTTTGTTTTGCTCGCTGTATTAAATTTATTGAGTTTTGTCTCTGTACTATGCTTATTTTGTTTTGTTCTTTATACTTAACTTATTTTATTTTGTTCTTTATACTTGGCTTATTTTGTTTACTAGACTTATTTCATTTTGTTCTTTATTGTCGGATAAATTTGTTTTGTTCTCTGTACCATGCTTATTTTGTGTTTTATTCTCCGTTGAGTGCTGAATTTGTTTTGTCTCTGTACTAGGCTCATTTTGTTTTGTCTGTGTTCTAGGCTATTCTTTCGCTCTTTATACTTATCTTATTTTGTTTTGTTCCCTGTACTAGGCTTATTTTGTTTAGTTCCTTATACTTCACTTGTTTTATTTTGGTCTTTTTGCTTGGCTTATTTTGTTTTGCTCGCTGTATTTGATTTATTTTGTTTGTTCTTTGTACTAGGCTTATTTTGTTTTTGGTCTCGTTACTAGATTTTGTTTTGTCTCTGTACTAGTCTTATTATTTTTTTCTATGTTTTAGGCTATTCTATTTTGTTTTCTTTTATACTTGGCTTATTTTGTTTTGTTCTCTGTGCCAGGCTTTTTTTTTTTTTTTTTTGTCTGTGTTCTAGGCTATTCTATTTTGTTTTTTATGCTTGGCTTATTTTGTTTTCCTCGCTGTACTATATTTATCTTGTCTTGTCTATGTGCTAGTCTTATTTTGTTTTGTCTGGTACTTGGCTTATTTTGTTTTGTTCTCAGTACTTGGCTTATTTTCAGTATTTTGTATCGACGTTGAGTTCCGGTTTGATGACGTTGTGAATTATTATTAAATTCTTTAAGAGTTCATGTTCATTAGAAAAAAGGTTAACGTGTCATAGAGATGTGATTGAGAGTGGCACATATTCAATTTTAGTCTACACACTTTCGATTCAAAGCAGTTGCTTTTCCAGCACAAATTATCAAGCGTTATGTTGCTATTCTACGTACATTATTGCAATATGTTTGCGGTTAGCAAGTAGACAATAAAATAATTGGCGTTATATCGAGGTTTTACTGTAATATTTAAATTGTAGTAGGTATTTCAATCTTTTCCAAACCTCTTATTACTTTAGAAAATGCGATTTTTAATGGTCATTCAGGTTGTGAGTGGCAAAATGGGAGGTGTAAACGAATAGGAACGACCAAAACATCTGAATGCACTACTTTTAAGTGTATGAAAGACCAAAACGAGAAGTATGCCTTCAGCCCAATAAAGACAGGTAGGTATATAATATGTATGTTAACGGATAGGACGATGGCAAATAGTTCTTGAATATTAAAGCACATATTACATACAAGATATAATTATTATTAATTTTGCTACAAATGCTGAAGCATAATTTCTTTTTCATTGAATATGTAATGTTTACAACCATTGACATTACTGTCAATGACAACAAAATCAAATAATTGTACACATACCAACCTCGAGATTAATATTTACTTTATTGCTTAACACATGTATACCTTGATCCGCCGTTGTATTAAGATTTGAATAGGAACGGAAATATCCAGGATACGGATACATAATTGCATACATTATGATAGTGTATGCTTAGACTACTTAACGTATGCTATTGTTGAAACAATTTTCGGCAGAAGCTTATTTAAATTAGCACACTATATCTATATTTGAGACATTACCATCATAATTATAGGTTGAATGGAAAGTCAATGAAACTAAGAATTATTGGATCTAGCCTAGGCAGACACCGAAGTCTAATGATGTTATGTTGAGCATGTAGGTTTCCTTACAGTAACATTTTGATGCATACCTTTGAAGTTTTAAACTGCCAACAAACTTAACCCTGTACGGTAACAGCATTCTGTTTGTTTCAACAGGATGTAAGGTGAATGGCAAGTGCTTTAAACCAGAGGCGGAAATAAGGTTTAGAAACAGACCTCCATGTTTCTGCACAAGCGACGCACAACTCATATGTGCAGTACATTGATAATGACAATGACTTAGTCCGGGGACGAGGAAACATTATAGTGATCTGTGTAGTACATTGATAATGACAATGACTTAGGCCGGGGACGAGGAAACACTAGAATTATCTGTGTAGTACATTGATAATGACAATGACTTAGGCCGGGGACGAGGAAACATTATAGTGATCTGTGTAGTACATTGATAATGACAATGACTTAGTCCGGGGCCGAGGAAACATTATAATGATCTGTGTAGTACATTGATAATGACAATGACTTAGTTCGGCGACCAGGAAGACTATATACATCTGTGTGCATTACATGGAAAGTCATCACATAAATAAAAGCTAATCTCTGCATTAACTCCTCATTTGCTCCACTCTGTCACAAAATATATCACAGTATGCAATGTCATCTGGCCCCGGAATATCGAAACTTCGTAATTCTCCATTCTTAACTTTCCATTCTTAAGCTAAGTACGTACTTAGCTGAGAATTTCTCAAATTGGTGTATCTCGAAGGCGTTCTTAAATATTTGAGAACGTACTTAGCTAAGAATGTGTTTGTTGATACATAAGGGACCCTATTTGGAACTCTTTAATGAAAAACAGTAATATCAGTGTATGAAATGGAATTAACTAGGATAGATAATCCCGTACTTCTTTAGCAGTGCATTGAAAACCATGTTTAAGTTTTCAAGCTAAATTGGATATTAAAAAACAGACGACACCAATTTTGTTGTTATGACAGTCAAAGCATTGAATGCAAGATATTAAAAGAAAATATTGAATAATTATCCTAAACTGATTAAAGAGGTATGGCGGAAAACTGCCCGTATTTCCCTAAGTCGGCATTTATAAAAACGAGAGAAAAAAATAAGGAGTAAAACATTTTGTGTAGCAAAAATGCATACAAAAGATACAAAACCAATTGAATATGAATTTTTAAACTGCTGAGAAATTAGGTTTTGCTAATATGATACTGCAAATATAGCCATATACACTATATCTATAAAAGTGAAGGGGTTTCTCGGACTTAAAAAAATAGTTTCAACACTTTCCCATCTGAGGACCAACTTTTGAATAAACTATTTGTGACCGTGATGTAATATGCAAAAACAAATCGTATTACGGAAAATTGGTCCTCCTTTGGGAAAGTGCTCAAAATAATGAAAAACAAGGGTGATCAAGTTTCTCTAAACAGCGACCGGTGTTTCTCGGGTTAAAACAGTTTGTAATTGCCAATATCTATATGTTGTATGTAGCCGAATGTGTAACGCAGTTTACTTGCGACTAGAAAATAAACGGTGCAGGTTCGAATCCTCCTTCATTTTTTTTTTTTTTTTTAAATATTTAGACATGTGATCATTTTCCTTAATAAGGCAATGGTGGGTTTTATAAATCGATGGAAGATTTTGTTTAGATTTTAATAACATACCTATTGATTTATCAGTTTTGTTAGTAATACTTTCTTTACTATTTAGTGCGACATACTTCTCTCGAAGCATGTCAACAAATTCCTGTACACGTGTACAGTACAGCTACGCTTTGTAGGTAAGACACTATTTTTGATGAAATGTATGAAGTGTTTTACCCTCCAACTGGCAATAGTAATTATATCAAGTGCTTAAACACCAACAAATAATGCCGAAATACCAAATATGTGGTCTGTTTACAATAATCTATTCTTAGACACGGGATTCCGATATTGCTACCTGTATACAAATACCCGAGGACGCGTCATAATAGTGCACGGTTGGATGCGCACTAGCGTAACATAGCTTTGGGGAAATAGGAATAGCAACCCGCCATATCCACAATTCATTAGAACCATGACTGGAAACTTTTCTATACAAAGTTACAGCTTCATATGTTCAGATATGAATTCAATAGAACGATGAAAAAAGACTATTTGTAATTAGTTTACGTCAAATCCTTAAAAACAAGTCCTTCTTGGCATTTCACAACTTTTCATTCCGTCTCCCTTTTAAAATCTGGTCATGCTTATTATAGTGTGGATTCTCTTTTTCAATCTTTAAAATCAAATACAATACAAAAATAACACCCTTGAACAGGTCAGTCTGAGCGTTGTTTTTCATGCCAAACCTTTTAATTTTGGCCTCATCGATAGAGGATTTGCAGGCATAAGTCAGTTTAACATGGAGCATATGATGGGGTACATAAATATCCCACTATTCGGTTATTGAATTTGGTAACCGGTTCGAGGTCTTCCGACCGAATATTTATGTGTGCTGTGACCCTTATCAGTATAGCAAATGTGTATTTCAGACGTTTGTAACGAACCCCTGTGGAACCAGTAACCAGTTAATCATTGACAACCCTTAGAATCAACGCATTGGTTATCTCATTTAAAAGCGACAGCAAGTTGGATATCTACTTAAAACACAGTACTTATATCATTAACAAAGCAATGACCTAGTTTTAAATGCGATATTTAATGCTAGTAACGAGATTAACAAGTTGTAACGAGATTAACAGGTTGTAACGAGATTGTTGATGTATTAAAGACAGATTTTGTTTGAAATTGACATAAATAGTCTGTCATTAATAAGAAATGTTATGTCATTAATTGTTGCATTTACAATATTTCCTTTACCGAAATTCAGGAAAGAAATAAATGAGGAAAGGAGACTATCATTATGTGAATATTCGGGATATAAACATTTTACACTCGGGTGGGGTCAGAACCTGCCCCAAATTCTGAATCCTCGGATAACATTTTCTTTCCCCCAATGATCATAACCAAATAGGCCACATTAATTATTTGCCGACGTCTGATTTTATGGATATTCGGTGATATATTGAATTGTATTGAATGGCCCCAAATACTTGTTCTGTAATAATATCCAATGTGTTAGCTAATTATGAATAAATAAATAAATAACAAGAGTACCGCGGGGCGGAACAATATACGCCCGTCGAATGCCATATAGTGTTATATACTTTCTTACATTGAAATAAGATCTGCTTCATTCAAAAGTGGTTAGCTGACATGCTATAAAAATGTAGGAGAAATTCTCCGGATAAAAAAATAAAATACTGAAATGAACAAAGGGCAATAACTTTTGCAAAAATCGTCGAATTATTTTCAAGGAAACACAACAACATATCAGGATTAATCTGTCAAAAAATGAAGGAAGAGATCCCCGGACAAAAAAATCAAATACTGAAATGAACAAAGGGCAATAATTTTTGGGAAAATTGTCGAATAAAAATTCGTTTTAGGGAGACACAACTTCATATCATGATTATAATGTATACCAAGTTTCAAATAGATCCGTTGAAAAATGTAGGAGGCGATTGCCGGACAAAAATCAAATACTAAAATAAACAAAGGGCAATAACTCTTGCAAAAATGTTGAATCAAAATTCTTTTAAGGGAGACACATCTTCATATCATGATTATAATGTATACCAAGTTTCAAAGAGATCCATTGAAAAATGTAGGAGGAGATTGCCGGACAAACAAAAGTTTACGCCGGACGGACGGAGGGACGGACAACGCCATACCATGATACTCCCGTCAAATTTGACGGGTGTATAAAAAGAAATATAAACACAAAGCCTTTTGTCTCCTCACTCGCTTAGTTGATCATTTTGTACATTTAAGCACGTTCTTAAATATTTAAGCATGCTCCTTACCATTCTCAAATAGTGAGCCCGTTCTCAACTTAAAATTTGAGAATGCATACTTAAGAACCTTTGAGATACACTGTTTTAAGTATGTGCTTAAAGTTAAGCATATGCTTAAAGTTAAGCACTAAGAATTGGTTTAAGTAGTTTCGAGATTCCGGGGCCTGTTGGACTTAAAAGTTTTTTCCCGATGTAATTCATATAAAAGCATAATTGTTTTACCCCTGTAAATAAGAAATTGTAATATGATCCAGCAACGTCGGATTTTTACAACAAATCGCGTCTATTTCACAATAACTGATTATATTTTCATGCCGATTCGTGACAACTACGCGATTTTCCCACAAAAGGTATTTTTTTCGAATTGTTTCGCCATCAGATATCTAAAGACAGAGAGTCTCACCACGTTTTCATTATATACAAGTATTTAAACGTTATTTTCCTCTGATTCATTTATATTACAGGTTTGAGTCCATACGAATTTCAATTTTCCAAATTATTGTGCTGAAAAGAACTTACACGTCAAATATCTTGACGGGTAGCCTAGAGGATAAACTACCTTCTTTATCATCTAAAGGCGTGGCTTCATTTTGGCGGAAACGTTTTTGCCAAAAACATATAATGAAGATTACCCGCTTTGCTATAGTAAACGGAGAAGCAACTCTTAGTAAAAACAATTAAAACAAATTGGAATTCTTCTTTGTAAGGGATACAGCGCGCCCAAGCTCTCTATCTTATGCCACCTTTTCTAATTCAATTAAACAAACATTTTCGGAAATACAAACATTTTAGTGCATATTTCAAGATGGTGATAATTGTTATCAGCTCCAGTTTAAAATTGCAAATATAACAATGCAAAGGCAACAACAATGTGTGACAAGTATACATGTTAATTGTATAGTTATCATGGAAATGTCATTCTCTGTGTTCTGGTTTACATTTTTGATCCCATAGCTCTTTTATTGATTTTTGGGTAGGCTACATAAACTAACAATGTTATCTCTCCCATCAAAAACACATGTTTTCCGCCATTTTCGCGCTAAAAAAAAAAGAAGTATGATCAGAGTCACATATACGCTTCAGGTTCTGGGCTTATTCAATAAAACCGAGAAGACTGAAATCAGGATATTTTAATAAAACGTTAAGGTAACGGGAAGAAATTTCCGCAATCGGCAGAAATAAGACAAAATCATACAGTGAATAGACATTATTGTAAGGCGTAATATTTTTTGTTTAAATCGTAAAGGATTAGACAAAAAAAGGAAAGGTTGGCACCTTTGCATGGTACTTCCACTACACTAAGTTTCAATTTCAAAGAAACTGATTGAAAAATGAGCATATGTCTACGGATTCCAGTATCAAGTATAGCCCCCTCCCCCTTCCCTAAAGCGGGGGGTCCAACAAGGTCAAGTAAAAAAAAAAAAACAAGGTTTCAGTAACGTCAACATGCTTATTTTATTTCTTCCCGCCACAAGATATTTTAGCATGTATTCCATTAGCTTTGCATTCACATCCATTATAATATCTGTTTCTGTACTTGACTGTAAAACCCTTATCACCGATTTGCCGACATCTTCCGTTCACGTCTTTACATACTGAAATACAAGAAACATAGTTCAATTTTATATGTTTGAAGTGTGGTAAAACTGTTTCACAAATAAACTTATATCTTCACAGAAAACGACTGTTTTGTAATATTTTACAAAACAAAGAAAAATTAATTAAAAAACAACATACAATATATATCATATAAATGAAAACATATAAAGCGGTATGTCTTTCCTATGTATCCAACTATGAAAAACTTTTAAACGACTTTTCCCACTATGAAATAGCGTTTAAAATTGCTTTGTCTGAAAACACTTTATAAACTATATTGTACCACCTTTTAGTACAGAAAAAAATCATGTAAAAACAGCCAAACAGTTGTGATACCACGAGTAATACCTGATCGGTTTTCCTGAAAGGCAAAAACTAGCATTCCTACAAAGGGTTTCAAATTGCAAAACATTGGTACATTTCGATAATGTTTTCTTACATAATCGTTATAGACGCAAAATCATCTTATGTTTCTCGGTGCGGATAAATAATAGTCAAAAGGTCATATACGCAGGGAATACAAATTAAACGAACCTGGTCATCCTTAACAAAATTTAGCAAATTAAAGAAAGAAATTGTGAAACTTTATACAAAGATTGCTAAAATAATTTAGTTTCTAGATGTAATTTCTTTTTAAAGCTGGTCATTTGTCTCCAAAGTTTAAGATGCTGATTATTATTTCGTCATGGTTTTTTTGTGGGTAATCAGATCGACCCATGTTCTTTTTTACTATAACAGCTAAAACTAAAAAAACATTGTTATATCAAACTCACAATATCGAGCCACACTTGGTTTGTAGCCTCCCTTATCACATGTGATACACACAAGCATGGCACACCCATTTCTAAAGACGTGCTCCCATTCTTCCCCAGGCTTCCTGCATGTACCTGCACGTGGATCTTTACAACCTACAATTATATTTAATGGAATAAAAATGTCATCTAACTCGTGAATTGTTATTACCTTTCAAACTGAACTTTCCATATTCAAGAATTAGTGATGCATTAAACAAGCTTGACAGTTGAATAGACAGAGGAAATAGCCGATGTGGTTATAGTGTTGAATGTCCTATTTTTGTTTTTTCAAAGGTTTACATTTCTTGCATTTCATCTATAGTTTCAATGAGACTTTACTATTATACGAATGTTCGGCTGCGACATTTTATTATTTTGTTTCTTGTCTTCGAATAAACTACCTTCGAACGTTGTCACCTTTTTTTCTTGAAATATGTCTTTTTCAATAAATAAGCACAAGAGTGTAATTTATTTGTAGCAATAACGGTATATGTTAACAAATCGTAATAAATCTTATCTGCTACTATTAACTAATAAAAGGAAGGAATGAACTGATGAGTAATGATATATGAGAGGACAATCAATGTTTTAACGAAAACTTGTGTGTACAGATTTTAGTTTACAACTCATACGTTATTGGAACTGGAATTTTATTATTTAGTTTTGACCTGCGAACTTATATAAAGATTATTAATATTCACCATGCCTGAATCGATGTTTCGTCAGCAATAAAAATAATAAACAGTAGCTACATGTATAGAAACAAGTCCCTTTGTATTATACAATGTACATGCTATTTTTTGTTCATTGTGATTCATTATATTTTGTAACGACAGCAAAACGCAGACAGTAAAAAATACAACACAGCTTTGCAGACATCAATGTTACTCTTTTCAAGACTCACGATTAACAAATTAATCTGGTAATTCTGTTCATTGAGTCAATTGTCGACATTACCTGCTGCTTTTGTCCTAACAGATTTGTAGTAACGTCCGTTTGAAGAAGTAACTAGACATGACTTTGTGAGACAGCTTCCTCCTGACCATTCCTCGCCTGGTTGTCTACACACACCCTGGTACATACATCCTTTTAATGGAGGAAGAATACTCAACGTATAAGCTTAAGAATAACAGTGATAGGCTAAAACTAATTACGTTTAATTTACATTTCACAAAGAAAAAGTAGAAGCGACATACTTCATAGACATGCCCGAAATATGAAGTTCATAAGAGTTATTGAGACATATACAAAGCGCCTTTGGTGCCGATGATGTCAGAAGTAGGACAAAGGAGTTCAGCCTTTCTAGACATCACTGCTGCTGGTACATCGGTTACTATGTTTTGCATTTTAGCTGTTAAATTGAGAAATATTGATGAATAGTTTTATATAAGCACTGACATTACGAGACAATTAATTATGTTCGTGATAGTACATGTATAAATTATACATGTATAACACCAAAGTGAACTAGATTTTTAATGAAAGCGAAAATACTGGACGATTAAACTGACGGATATATTTTAGTGTAATACGTTCATAACAACGTGTTAAGTTGGTTGGTCTTCTTTAGAGTTTACACTTACCCATTTTAGATGGCGCAATCTGGAGACTGGATTTACCGTTTGGAAATGGGTAGGTGTTACATTTCAACGTCATACATCTAGTGTCGTCACGCCATTCCGCACCAACTGACCTACACAGGCCAGTGTTATCTTTACATCCTATAACGGTGTACCAGGGTATCAGTAATAATACAACACTAGCCAAATGTAGAACACATGTTTGATATTGGAACAAGAATTATGTTGTTCAACATTACACGTGATGTTAAGTGGACTACCGTGTGTAATCATATTATGGGAAAGAAAAATAAACCTGTGTAATTACATTTGAGGAAAATTGAATCCGTACAATTTACGTTGATGAATTGGAACTTTGAATGTGTACATTTGTAAATAGAAAAAAACAACAACAATGACGTGATTATCATTTGCTGTGCCCATCTGAAAATCGAAAGCCAACTATCATAACAAAGGATCAAAGAATATACATCACGTGAACTACAGAATAAGATTTCCTTTAAAAATTCAAAACATACTATAATTATCAGTAAAACAGAAATTATTATTGTTCAATAATATTGACAGTACAACGTTTGTTCTAATAAAGCCACAAACTAAACACAAAACGCGTCGTTCAATCAAATAGGAACCATAAAATGGCCTTTAACATTGTAATTTATCCTATGACTCTCCTTTCTTTTTTTAGCAAATGTTGCCGTGATCATTTTTCTTTTATCTAATCGGTTTCTTAATATTTGAAACAGTACTGAAAACAATTTTAACTACACCTGTCGCCTATTGGCTAACTTATGCCCACGCATTCCGGCAGCTTGTTGCCCCTGTAGGGGCTAAATAAACAAGTGTTTGGTCTGGGTTAGTATTGTGTAACGTCCTATTAACAGCTATGGTCATTTAAGGACGGCCTCCCCTGTGTGCAAAATGGATGCCTGTAGTGTATGCGTGTGTGTTTTAGGAGGCTACAATATGTTCGTGTTTGTCTTCTTGAACTGATGCCGACGTTATAGTGCTACCTAACTGAAACATACTGCCGAAGACACCCAGCAGGACACCTCACCCGGTCACATTATACTGACAACGGGCGAAGCAGTCGTTCCACACCTAAATTGATGAGCGTTAATCAGGAGTAGAAACAACAGTTTGTACAGACTCTGGTATGTCTCGGACAGGGGACAGAACCCAAAGCCTTCCTCACAGGGGCGAACGTTCAACTTAAGGCCAAAAGTGAGTCATTGTCAAGGGAGACACCAGAAAGAAGAAAGTTGATAAGAAAGAAGGGAAAAGATAAAATCCCAAATTTAGTCGCCTCTTACGATCATGTAATGGGGGCAGCAGGTATAATTCCTACGCCCTACCTGTGTAAGTGTAAGAACATATAGAAATATCAACGGTCATGACAAATTCTAGCCTCAGATGTCGTACCAACAGACTGATGAGGACAAACACCGCTACTGTGATCTTCGACCCCATGACATCGGAATTTTGTCACAATGTAGCTTGAATTAATGCTACATATACATGTATTCCAAGGTATGTGTATACAAAACACATACCATTTCTGCGATAATTAGCCATTTCAGTAACAAATTTCATCCGTGACCTTTTACCTTTGACCCCGCGATATCGGGAGTTAGTCAGTGCAGTAGTTTGCATTACTACCTACAATATTCCAATTTATGTTTGAATTTAAAATACCTACCGTTTCCAAGAGATCATTAGCAATTTCAATAACGTAATTCATTCGTGACCTTTTCACCTTTAACCCCCTGACCGCAGTAGTTTGCCAGTAGAGCAGCGTTCATTAATGCCTACAACATTCCGATGTATATATACCTACCATTTCAGTAATGTAATGTACTGTCTACAAAGGTTAAGGACCATAACTCTAGTAAATATTGAAGGAGCACAATGGCGTTCAGGAAGACACAAGTTCATTTGAGGGATAATATGTGTGCAAAGTTTCATCAAAATACATGCATAAACCTTCAATGAGTAGAAGGTGCAATTTTTTGATAGATATAAAGACGGACGGACAGAGTGAGTCCAGTATACCCCCTAACTTCGTCGTGGGGGTATAAAAAGTGTCAACACACAGCGGCAAGAATATTGCGATTTCTTTTTTCCTAAATGCTCATTAAAGCCATTTCATAAGCGATGGCAACTGGAGTTTAGAATCACTGTAACGTGAAGTCGTACTTTGAGAGATAAACCTGAGTACTGGAGTATGAGCGGAGTTGTTATCGTCACAGGTGTAAGTATTACAGCTCTCTTCTATAGACTCCCCCATCGCTATACAGTTCCCTTTGAAATCCTTGCATGCTGGAGGAGAAAAAGAACAACATTCAATCAGTTTTAACACCAGTAAAAACCTTAAATGCACAGTATAGAAAATATTACCCCCCCCTAAAAAAAAACCCCCAAATATTAGCAGACTCGTTGTCAGTGTTTAAATACAACTTTCAAAAACCCCAAAGCGGATGTTCTTGACGGCCGTTTTATTGGAGGATTTGGTTTATCTTAAAATCATGCAATTTGTTGTTGTCAATTTGTTTTAGAATATAAGTTATGTAAGCGATTGAAGTTTTGGTGATCTACATGTTTATATGTTAACCAGCCAAATCAAAAATGTTAAAGCCCCACTTTATTTACTTATTTACTGTTCAAAGTATGTTTCTTTCATAATGCTTGTTTCTTACTGCTCCACCTTTTAATAAATCATATCTCGCAGATAAATATATCTTGTAACGTATTCATGCCGTAAAAACCCTTTCTAAACAAAGATATCTTGTAACGTATTCATGCCGTAAAAACCCTTCCTAAACAAAGAGATCTTGTAACGTGTTCCTGCCGTAAAACCCCTTCCTAAACAAAGATATGTTGTAACGTATTCATGCCGTAAACCCCTTACTAAACAAAGATATGTTGTAACGTATTCATGTCGTAAAGCCCTTCCTAAACAAAGATATGTTGTAACGTATTCATGTCGAAAAGCCCTTCCTAAACAAATATATGTTGTAACGTTTTCATGCCGTAAAAACCCTTACGAAACAAAGATATGATGTACCGTATTCCTGCCGTAACCCCCAGATAAAAGATATGTTGTAATGTATTCATGCTGTAAACCCTTCCTAACCAAAGATATGTTGTAATGTATTCATGCTGTAAACCCTTCCTAACCAAAGATATCTTGTAACGTATTCGTGCCGTAAAACCCTTCCTAAACAAGGATATGTTGTAACGTTTTCATGCCGAAAAAACCCTTCTAAAACAAAAATAGGACATTCAACACTAAAACCACATACTTTCTTCTTTCTGGTGTCTCCGTTTAGGAAGGGTTTGACAACATGAATATGTTACAAGATCTCTTTTTTTAGGAAGGGTTTTGCGGCATGAATACGTTTCAAGATATCTTTGTTTAGAAAGGGCTTTACGGCAGGAAAACCATAAAGAATTTCCTTTGTTTTGGAAGGGGTTTTACGGCATGAACACGTTACAACCTATCTTTGATCTGGGGTTTACGGCAGGGAAACGTTTCAAGATCTCTTTGTTTAGGAAGGGCTTTTCGACATGAATACGTTACTACATATCTTTGTTTAGAAAGGGGTTTTACGGCACGAATACGTTACAAGATCCCTTTGTTTAGGAAGGCTTTTACGGCATGAATACCTTACAAGCTATCTGTGTTTAGGAAGGGTTTAACGGCATCAATACGTTACAACATAAGATATGTTGTAACATATTCATGTTGTCAAACCCTTCCTAAACAAAGAGATCTTGTAACGTGTTCCTGCCGTAAAAACCCTTACTAAACAAAGATATGATGTAACGTATTCCTGCCGTAAACCCCAGATCAAAGATATGTTGTAACGTGTTCCTGCCGTAAAGCCCTTCCTAAACAAAGAGATCTTGTAACGTATTCATGCCGTAAAACCCTTCCTAAACAAAGACTTGTTGTAACATATTCATGCCGTAAACCCTTCCTAAACAAAGATATGTTGTAACGTATTCATGCCGTAAAACCCTTCCTAAACAAAGATATCTTGTAACGTATTCATGCCGTAAAGCCCTTCCTAAACAAAGATAGGTTGTAACGTGTTCATGCCGTAAAACCATTCCTAAACAAAGATATGTTGTAACGTATTCATGCCGTAAAACCTTTCCTAAACAAAGATATGTTGTAACGTGTCCCTGCCGTAAACCCCTTCCAAAACAAAGATATGTTGTAAGGTGTTCCTGCCATAAAAATCTTCCTAAACAAAGATATGTTGTAACGTGTTCATGCCTTAAAACCATTCCTAAACAAAGATATGTTGTAACGTATCCATGCCGTAAAACCCTTCCTAAACAAAGATTTCTTGTAACGTATTCATGCCGTAAAACCCTTCCTAACCAAAGATATCTTGAAACGTATTCATGCCGTAAAGCCCTTCCTAAACAAAGATAGGTTGTAACGTGTTCCTGCCGTAAAACCATTCCTAAACAAAGATATGTTGTAACGTGTTCCTGCCGTAAAACCCTTCCTAAACAAAGATATGTTGTAACGTGTTCCTGCCATAAAAATCTTCCTAAACAAAGATATGTTGTAACGTGTTCCTGCCGTAAAACCCTGGCTAAACAAAGATATGTTGTAACGTGTTCCTGCCATAAAAATCTTCCTAAACAAAGATATGTTGTAACGTTTTCCTGCCGTAAAAATCCTCCTAAACAAAGATATCTTGTAACGTATTCATGCCGTAAACCCTTCCTAAACAAAGATATGTTGTATTCATGCCGTAAAGCCCTTCCTAAACAAAGATGGGTTGTACCGTTTTCCTGCCGTAAAACCATTCCTAAACAAAGATATGTTGTAACATGTTCCTGCCATAAAAATCTTCCTAAACAAAGATTTTTTGTAACGTGTTCCTGCCGTAAAACCCCTTCCTAAACAAAGATAGGTTGTAACGTGTTCATGCCGTAAAACCCCTTCCTAAAAAAAGATATGTTGTAACGTGTTCCTGCCTAAAAACTCTTCCTAAACAAAGAGATGTTTAAACGTGTTCATGCCGTAAAATCCTTCCTAAACAAAGATATGTTGTAACTTGTTCCTGCCGTAAAACTTTTCCTAAACAAAGAGATGTTGTAACGTATTCATGCCGTAAACCCTTCCTAAACGAAGAGATCTTGTAACGTATTCATGCCGTAAAACCCTTCCTAACCAAAGATATCTTGTAACGTATTCATGCCGTAAAACCCTTCCTAACCAAAGATATCTTGTAACGTATTCATGCCGTAAAACCCTTCCTAACCAAAGATATCTTGTAACGTATTCATGCCGTAAAACCCTTCCTAACCAAAGATATCTTGTAACGTATTCATGCCGTAAAGCCCTTCCTAAACAAAGATGGGTTGTACCGTTTTCCTGCCGTAAAACCATTCCTAAACAAAGATATGTTGTAACGTGGTCCGGCCGTAAAACCCTTCCTAAACAAAGATATGGTGTAACGTGTTCATGCCGTAAAACCCTCCCTAAACAAAGATATGTTGTAGCGTGTTCATGCCGTAAAACCCTTCCTAATCAAAGATATGTTGTAACGTGTTCCTGCCTAAAAACTCTTCCTAAACAAAGAGATGTTTAAACGTGTTCATGCCGTAAAATCCTTCCTAAACAAAGATATATTGTAACGTGTTCATGCCGTAAAACCCCTTCCTAAACAAAGATATGTTGTAGCGTTTTCATGCCGTAAACCCCTTCCAAAACAAAGATATGTTGTAACGTGTCCCTGCCGTAAAAGCTTCCAAAACAAAGATATGTTGTAACGTGTTCATGCCTTAAAACCATTCCTAAACAAAGATATGTTGTAACTTGTTCCTGCCGTAAAACTTTTCCTAAACAAAGATATGTTGTAACGTGTTCATGCCTTAAAACCATTCCTAAACAAAGATATGTTGTAACGTGTCCCTGCCGTAAACCCCTTCCAAAACAAAGATATGTTGTAGCGTGTTCATGCCGTAAACCCCTTCCAAAACAAAGATATGTTGTAACGTGTTCATGCCGTAAATCCCTTCCTAAACAAAGATATGTTGTAGCGTTTTCATGCCGTAAACCCCTTCCAAAACAAAGATATGTTGTAACGTGTTCATGCCTTAAAACCCTTCCTAAACAAAGATATGTTGTAGCGTGTCCATGCCGTAAAACCCTTCCTAAACAAAGAGATCTTGTAACGTATTCATGGCGTAAAACCCTTCCTAAACAAAGATATGTTGTAGCGTGTTCATGCCGTAAAACCCTTCCTAAACAAAGATATGTCGTAGCGTGTTCCTGCCGTAATTCCCCTTCCTAAACAAAGATATGTGGTAACGTATTCATGCCGTAAAACCCTTCCTAAACAAAGAGATCTTGTAACGTATTCATGGCGTAAAGCCCTTACTAAACAAAGATATGTTGTAACGTGTTCATGCCGTAAAACCCTTCCTAAACAAAGATATGTCGTAGCGTGTCCCTGCCGTAATTCCCCTTCCTAAACAAAGATATGTTGTAACGTATTCATGCCGTAACCCCTTCCTAAACAAAGATATGTTGTAACGAATTCATGCCGTAAAACACTTCCTAAACAAAGAGATCTTGTAACGTATTCATGCCGTAAAGCCCTTCCTAAACAAAGATATGTTGTAACGTATTCATGCCGTAACCCCTTCCTAAGCAAAGAGATCTTGTAACGTATTCATGCCGTAAACCCCTTCCTAAACAAAGATATGTTGTAACGAATTCATGCCGTAAAACACTTCCTAAACAAAGAGATCTTGTAACGTATTCATGCCGTAAAACCCTTTCTAAACAAAGACTTGTTGTAACATATTCATGCCGTAAACCCTTCCTTAAAAAAGATATCCTGTAACGTAATCATGCCGTAAAACACTTCCTAAACAAAGAGATCTTGTAACGTGTTCCTGCCGTAAAACCCCTTCCTAAACAAAGATATGTTGTAACGTGTTCATGCCGTAAACCCCTTCCTGAACAAAGATATGTTGTAACGTATTCATGCCGTAAACCCTTCCTTAACAAAGATATCTTGTAACGTATTCATGCCGTAAACCCTTCCTAAACAAAGATATGTTGTAACGTATTCATGCCTTAAAACCCTTCCTAAACAAAGACATGTTGTAACGTGTTCATGCCGTAAAACCCTTCCTAAACAAAGATATCTTGTAACGTATTCATGGCGTAAAGCCCTTCTTAAACAAAGATATGTTGTAACGTGTTCATGCCGTAAACCCCTTCCTGAACAAAGATATGTTGTAACTTATTCATGCGTAAACCCCTTCCTAAACAAAGGTATCTTGTCATCAAATCGACTGCATTTGATGATTTATTAACAAAGGAAACTCCAAATCAAATATTAATTGATATTAAAGCTCATTTTATTAGTGGTAGAGAATATGCGTCTCTTTTATAGATTATGTTTTGTAATAAAACTTGGAGAATGAAATTCAAAATAATTAACTTCACAGAACAAAACAATTCATGTTGGTCCGCTGTATTCCATATATTTCAAAGTGTCACAAAATTCCACTTTGTTTACGAGTAAGAACACATGTAAAATTATAAAAGTAAAAATAGATTATGCTAAACATAAATAGTCACATGTTATATTTTTCATTTTTTTTGTGTCTCAAAAAATCTTTTTCTCGAAAAAAAATATCTTTGAAAAAATAAAAATGCTCCATTCTGGCTCCGAGATAACGTGCTATTTCTGTGACGTCACACGCAAAATACGTATTAAACGCCTGTTCCTTGCGAGATGCCAAGTAGTAAAAAAACATTAATCACGCTTTCACTGCTCAAAATTTTGAATTATTTAAATAGTAAGAATTTTTACTGATTTATAATAAATAATTAATAATTATTCGAGGTTCTTATATACCGCTTTATCACAACCTAGTTCGTAGGTCGTTTCAAAGCGGTTCACAAATTATTTTCCGTAGTTATAGGGCCTTTGCAACTAGCCATTATCTTTCTCAACTCCCTAGGAAGCATACAGCTGATGCCGCCATTTCGGCGCTCACAGCTAGCATTCTACAATGCAATCACTGCCCAACCACGTACTCGTTTACAGCTGAGTAGACTGGAACAAGCGGAGTCAAGTATCTTGCTCAAAGATTCAACACAGTGCCGTGCCGTGGCTCGAACCCGCAACCCGTACCACTAGACTACCGTGCCTCCTTAATTTATTAGATATAAGTCCTCGTTTTGTAATCGTACCTCGTTTGTATGGGTCCAATCGTGCAGTATATCTGTCATTAGTGGCCACCTTTACACTACAGACATACTCGGAACACGAGATATTGTGAAAACTTCCTTCGGGAACACAAGTGCCACGGAATAAACAACCTATGTGCAAAAGATAAACCCATTTTACATTAAACATTATTTGTATTGAAACATGTCATTTGGTTCCTTGTGCAAACCTCCCTATGGACAAAATCAGTTGAATGTATTAGACGTGTAAATCTGTCAATGTTAAGCATGGTTCTTCTTAGTTAAAAGTGTTAAACAGTTTACATTAAAATAGTGTGGCAAACAATGGAATCATGTTACATATTATGTATTTTATTTAAAAATAGTTTTAGTTTGGCTCCAATGTACATCAAAACATATACCACGAAGTTGTGCATTTTTACGTCATATTTTTAACACGTACCCATTGTTTGAATCTTCTTAGAGAAAGTGACACTTGAGCCTCGTTGTTCTTGTTTACAGTAATACGTAACACACTGCCGCCTGTCCTCATATGTATCGCCAACATTCAAACAGGTCCCATCGCTCATTGCACAACCTGTTGGCATATTATAAAGTAATCTAAATAGTACCACGATGTTTGCTGGATTTTTTTCATGAAATTTGATTGTTTCTTTATAAGAGAAACAGTTCTACAGTAAACTGAAAATATTCAGCCCTATTTAATTTTCATCTTTTTTGCGTTTGAAAAAGGGTGAATCTGACACGGAACAAACACTTGTATATATACTACTGATAGTACCTCCTGTGTCGAGCCCCATGTGACAGGCGTATCCATGTGTTCCAGCCATACAGCGACGTACAAAGCACCCCTTCCGAACTGTCTGGCCTATTTTGTAACACTGATTGTTATAGCTGCACACTGGAAAGATAATGTTTTCACTGCTATTATCGTATCCAAAAATATGTGTAAATGCATTTTGAAAACATTTTCTTCGTGAAGCGATGAATGGTTATAATAAAATGAATATATTTTCATATATATTTTTATTGGGGAATGAATAATTACAATTTTCAAGTATGTTATCGTTTCTTATACATAAGTATATTCAGTTTTATCTATTTGTTTTTGTGAATCGATGAATGACAATCTATTAGGTACCTGAATGAATAGTCGATTCATTCGATAAGTATGAGAAGGCGGAAGCATGTAAAAAGTTCAACATAGGTTTTATTGAGCAAATATGATGATTCTTGAGAATATCAGTAATATAACTAAAAACGAAATATAATTTGTTTGTAATAACCTACTTGAAACCAAATTCTGTACATATAATCTGATGGATGTGCCGTTCCTCTCCATCACACATTGAAGCAGGTTACAGCCGTGTCCCTTGAAAGCCATAAAGGGGTCTTTACATTCCCCGTAATACTTACATCCTGGTAATACAGAACGAACAGCATTAGTTTTATTTCGAACTTATCCTTACTGTTAAGTCAAAAGTTTCGTTTCGCAATTTTGCTTTTTGACTACATAATAGAACATTAATTTGGTTCGAAATACAATATACTCCGGTAGGTATAAGAATAACTGTAGCTTTAAGGACCCTTGTCCAACTGCATTGTTTTTTTAGTATACACAGTGACCTCCCCTTAATTCGTTTTTAACTATAGCACAGCTTGTCCAGGACACTTCCAGTACTCAGACAGCTCAGTCGATACAAGTCCCGCAAGGTATGGTTTTCTTTTGCAATTGAACCAAGCTATAGTCATGCCATGAAAACCAGTTTTCGATGTAGTTACAGTTTTAGCAGTGTAAGGGTTTTTTTAAATTCGTGTTTTAAAACAGAAATACTGGATGAGCTAATCATTCGTATATACAAGCACATTTATTAAATATTTTCATCCCACTTAAAGAATTTAGAAAGTTGAAACATACTGAAATATTCTATGTCATACACTTTATGTGTTGGAACAAAGCAATAAAAGATACGATTATGAATTACCTCCCTTTACAAACTCGTTGCCACACCTGGTGGTCTCCTTGCGACACTTGTACGTAATACAGTCCTTGGTGTACGTTGATCCTAGGGCAATACAACCTCCCGCCCCGTCACTGCAACCTGGTACACAGATGTAACATATATACACGTTTCATTGATTGAGTTGTCGCCTTATAAACTTATATTTTAACACATGGTTATTAAATCCTCAAATTATGTTTCGTCTGTTATTTACAGTAATATGTTTAGTGGAATTTTCAAACAGATATAATTAAAGTTGTGCATTTTGTACAAACAAACAAAAACAGTGTTAGTATCCATTCAAATATTTCCCATGCTCTCGATAAATGGTATGTTGCTAAGTGAGAATTAAAACTACCATTATGTTTTTCATTATTGTTTATTATCCGGTTAATATCTTACAGCCGATACAAACGTCTATTGATGTCATTCATACATATATAGGCCAGTATATACACTTTATGTGTAGGACAGTACATATATATATGGTAGTAGAATGTCGAACCACCGAAATCGAAATCGCACGAAGGAGTTACCATATTCCTTTGTACAAGCCGTTAGTTTTATTTTCCGATCCGACATTTCGCTTTATATAATTCTCACTAAAACGTTGACCTACCTGCTCTTCTCAAATAGAAGTATGGCATATATGAAGTAGGATGCAATCGACACTCTGTGACGTAACAACCACGTGACTTTGTGTAACCAATATCGCGGCATACGTCACCATCCTGGCACCCTTTAAGTAAATATTTATTGAAGTTCTGATACTATTTAAATGAAGCTTGTATCAATACCAATAACTTTCTCCTTTTTATTCCACACAACTTTCAATGGATCATATTTGTATTTAATTTGTTTTCTCGACTACCGACAATATAATTCAAATTCCTTGCTATTTTCCCAAGAAATCCTTTACTAGATTTACCGTAAACGAATTTTGAATTCCTTCGTCATTTTATTCTTATACTTAAATTTCATTAATATTTTTTTTTATATAATTAACATATTTCTATTGATAATCATAAGCAATGCAAATGCAAAATCTCGACCATTTGAAACGCCGGTAAACTTCATGCGGTTTTACTACAATATTGTTGACATCGACATTATCTATGGTATCTATATAATGTGCATCCACTAGTAAAATTAAAACAAAAATGTTATATTATGTGTTTGTATTACCTATCTTGACAGATTTCACAACAAATATAATCTGTCCCCTTTCATCCAAGTCCCTCTGACATATATTCTGATTACACTTTTCTCCCTGAGTTTCTGTCCACGTCTCGTTTTCTTTCCTACAAACATCCCCGACACTGCAACCTAGATATTGTGGAGAAGATAGGCGTACACATATTACTTTCATGATGATTTTGATGAACCAAAGTGTCTTTCCAAAGAAATGTTCTATGGATTTTTAAAAATAAATAACTAGTTGCATCAAGTGATTCAAGTGCATCGTTATGACAAATATTCTTCTACAGAAATTATATAATTAAAAGCTCCGGAATGTTAAACAAAACAACATATAATGAAAATATAAATAAATGTCTAACCTGAACAAACAAACACGCACGTAACAAAGCAATACGTAAGAAGCTAGTTCTTACATGCCGATCACTAAAATACTTTTAAGCACGAGGTTTGTACATTGTTAGAGTCTAACATCCTGTCCTTATATTAAACGTGTTATTCATATTAGTTATGCTGATAGGTTGTTTTCTTAATATGACGTTAAATATCAACCATTAAAAAAACATTTGACAGAGCAAATCCGAATATCAGTGGAGGTTTCTTTGTTCAAGGTGGCGTCGCTATTTGGAGCAATAATACAGGACAACGCAGAACATAAGTATAAAGACAACCCTAGCCTACAATAATAACAACCAGAACATAAGTATAAAGACAACCCTAGCTGACCATAATAACAACCAGAACATAAGTATAAAGAAAACCCTAGCTGACCATAATAACAACCAAAACATAAGTATAAAGACAACCGTAGCTGACCATAATAC